AGTCTTTGGTTCTTTTAATTGTGATGATTTTGGCTCACATTTAACAAAAACCCACCAATTCACTATCTCAACAACAAGATGAGAAGTGTGAACATTTTACTAGCCAGACATATTCATGATCATACAGTAGGGTAATCCTGTGTTCAATGGTAAACAAACAAACCAAAACCTATTATAAGGCTGTAAAAGCTTTTAACTGGTCACATGTGAATTAGGCCTAGCACACTGTTATACTGTTAAAGATCGCTTGATCTGGAAAGCATTGTCTGTGTACAAACATCTGACAGACGTCTGTAATATGTCAGTTTTACATACATCCTAAACCATAAACATCTTAAAGACATCTAATAAATGTCTATTTGACATCTGATAGGAAACGTCCAATAGACGCATTGCAGATGAGCAAACACTCTAAAAAATATGTCTTGCAGTTGTCAAAAAGACGTCTCCATGATGTACGTGTACTATATAGTTAAGACGGACAATTGTTCAGCGGGTTATAGATTAGAATTGGGTGTAACAATGCCGGTGATCTTTGGATGAACTATGTGAAGTTGAAAAAATGGGGTAATCAAGACCTCTTTCACTTTTACGCTAGAATGAACTTAAATGATTGTTCTGAAGATGACGAACAAAGCTTTTATTTACTCATATTTTTAACAAAGTTTACATTCTGCAAGTATTACAACAAAAGATTTTATGGTTGTTTTAACCGTAGTAAAATTGTACATTGACAATATTGGAGACTCTGAATTTTGGGCTCCCCCAGGAACACATACAGTTGAAGTCAAACATTTACATACACCTTGCAGAATCTGCTAAATATGAACCATTTTACTAAAATAAGGGGGGAGATAACTTTTTAACAGAATGAAGATGTGTACATTTTTCTTATTTTGCCTAAATATCTTCTTTTTTTCATTTAGTACTGGCCTTCAGAAGCTACAGAAGATACTTTCATGTGTCCCAGAAAACAAAATAAGTAACATTTACCCTGATCTTCAAATTCAGAAAGTTTTCACCCCCTGGCTCTTAATGCGTGGTTTTTCCTTCTGGAGCATTTTTATAAATTCATCTATTATTTTCTCTTGTGGACTATATGCAAACATCTTTTATGTGAAATATCGTATTCAGGTCAGTACTAAGTAAACAATAACATGCATTTTGTATGATCCCTCTTATTCTGGTCAAATTATTAACATTGTGCAGATTCTGCAAGGTGTATGTAAACGTTTGACTTCAACAGTATGTAATGAGGAGCAGGAAAATTACCTAAAGTAATTAGCACAACTTTTGCACTTCTTTTGTAATTTTACATAAATACACATGTTATGTTATTTTATTCTGGGGAAATGAATATTTTCATGAATAGTCCAGTAGATGGATGCAGTGATCCACTCATGCTGCTCACTATAGACCAGCTGTTCACATGCAGAGCCCCAAGACGAATTACATTGACATGTTCAAGTTATGCTAAAATAACTTATAACATAAAGAAGAAAGATACAATTATAAACTATATAAAACAGGATAAATACACTTAAAAAGATATGAATCATAATGCTCAACAATAGGCTAGTTGTTTTTTATTGAGGACCAACTTTCTGGAATCACAAAATTAATCACAGTAAATTGGTTTAAAACAAACTGCTTTAACATAATTACAGCAGAATTAGTAGTGGAAGTATCTTATCAATAATTACAGGTTTTCATTAGAAATAATCCATTGCTTAAATAGTAACTGATGACCGATGAAGATATTTAGAATTCATATTCAACTAATTTTATTTATTTATTGACATCCATGTCAAGACACAAACGTATATAGTGGTTGCAGTTTAAGATATAATAGATGTATTATTGCGTCAATGTAACGAGAAGGGGCTCGGTTTGAGTGACAGCTCCATTCGACCAATAGCGAAGAGACTCAGAATAGCAACGGTCCAATCAGGAGCAGGTGGGCGTGAGCGACGGATTAGCGAGAGATCGCGCTGGAACGCTGATAACGCTGATATCTTCATATTATACTGTCTAGAATAACGCACAAGTGTCGCAATGGTGTCGCCTTTACCGATAACGCTGATATCTTCATATTATACTGTCTAGAATAACGCACAAGTGTCGCAATGGTGTCGCACTCGCTGGCTTTACCGATGATCTGTTTCACCACGCTGTGGGGTCTGGTCGGGGTTGTGGCCCCGTTTTTTGTACCGAAAGGACCAAACAGAGGGTGAGGACTGATGCTGGAATAAAGGCCAAGCGATTCATGCATTCATCGATCTTTAAACGCATCCGTTCGTACAGCCTGCAGCCTGTGTCGTTTAAATGTTATTGCAATGTTATTCCGTGTTGCATTAGCGTTTATTTTACTGTTCAATGTTCAATTATTACAGGGTAATCATAACCAGTTTGGTGCTGACCGCTGTTTGCTGCTATTTATTGTGAGTATAATTAAACATTTTGGGAAATACTGCAGCATACATTGCAAATACTCCATTTTATTATTCATGTTTTGGGTAATTGGAATAAAAAATAAACCATGCATGCTCATACAGGATATCACCTTTACAAATTCGCTGTTTACAATGTTTACAGTGCATTTTTGCTGTAATTTGTTTGTTGATGCTATAAATCACGTAAATGTATGAAGTAGTACAGAGTTTATTTGGAATATTCACTACTGTATTCATATCCATTACAGCTGGTTAGTAGCGATACTGGCTCAAGCAAATCCTCTATTTGGACCTCAGCTTAAAAATGAGACCATATGGTATCTGCGCTACTTCTGGGAGTAGATGGAGGTAAACTGGTGTTCATATCAGATTATTTAATGAAAACTGGATTTATGAGGATTCCATAATGATTGAGATGTCTATATCTCATCGGGCTTTTTTCTTTTAAATGTCACTATTATAATCAGTAATACCCACAAAATAGTGAAGGATCGACTCCAAGAGAACAACATTTGTGATGAAACAAGCTGCAACATTACACACATTTTTTCAATTACAAAAAGAATGATTCAACTTTTGTTTAAACAAATATGTTACTTAACAGAATGCAACATAATGAATAGAAGATTTGGAAATAGTATACAGCAGTGAATCTCAACCTTTTGGCGTACCGGACCCCCGTCCAATTCAGAACCATCCTCAAGGACCCCCAGAACAAAATCGACTCATCTATGTATCATTTGTATCTTTGTGAGGACCAAATGCAGTCAAGTATAATTCAAGTTAGCTGACTTGTCCAGTATTTGGCCATATCACCAGCTATATTGGATTTTTCTTTCATGGGAACATGTCATGTCACAAAAATTCATACTTTATACGGACCCCCTGGCCTTACATCAAGGACCACTAGGGGTCCACGGACCCCTGGTTGAGAAACACTGGTATACAGGATAGTATTCTAAAAATATACAAAGAAATGTTATAGTGATATTCTTGTGATCTTTAAAGAATTGTAAGAACATCAAAGTGTGTGCTTTGGATGTCTGAGAGTTGAGTGTATGAGTAAATGGTTTTGTTTTGTTTTGCATCAATGCACAGGTTTGTTTATTTTAGTCTATTTAATATTAAGTTGTCCTCACTTGCATGTGACACTGTATCCACGTTTACCTGATGAAATTATTTTTATATTTATTATTGTTTTTATTTGTAAATGTGATTGATATTCTGTTGATGTTTTATGTCATCGTGTGAAGATTTTGAAGCTGTGTCGTACAAAATAAATCGAGTGAATCTACTGAATTTCTGTGCCAGCTATGATGGGCTGTATATAACCTCCTGCACTCTCACAGACACAATATAGGAGTTAGCGTGCATAATCTGTGAATATTTGATTTATGAGTTCATGTCAGGCCCCAGGTTTATATCAATGAGGAACCATACAACCAGAAGCAAAAGTGCATGGATAATGTCAGAAAGGTTTGCATTGGTAGGGCGGAAAAAGTGTACAGATTTTACGATTTCACGAATTAACTAAAAAACATTATCTTGGCTACAAAAGCTTCAGTTATCAATACTTTGTCAGAAAGAAGAAGCAAAAAGACCTTGACATCTGCTGATTCATCCGTATTTTGTGTGCAAGGTTGATTAATTGTGACCTGTTTGGAAGAACTGAAAAACATGTTTTAATTACGGTATATAAGTACACGCTAAACAGTTTTGTGTATTCATACCCTATAATAACTTCCCTTTTCTTTAACCAGAATTTTTTTTTAACTACAATTTTTTTATGCTATGATATACAACCACTACGGGGAATCATAATTTATGAATATCAATGCTTATGAATTAAAACATTTAGCCGACAAGTGCTGGCCCACTTTTTCAGCCTTGGTTCATGAAGTGTTCATTACAGTTATACTGTATATGACGGTGAATCATATCATCACACACTTTTATTTGAAGTAAAAAGTGTTTGAAATCAGACAAAAAGAAAAAGTCCCGTATCCATACTCCCATGAAGCATTGTGAACAGCGTATAAAAAACGGCCGTAAACATTAAACCAGGGGGTATTGCACAAAAGCAAGATAAGGGATTAAGCTGTCATTTGGACAACTTTAAAGATAATTTTCTCAATATTTAGATTGTTTTGCACCCTCAGATTCCAGATTTTCAAATAGTTGTATCTTGGCCAAATATTGTCCGATCCTAACAAACCATACATCAATGGAAAGCTTATTTATTCAACTTTCATATGATGTATACATCTCAATTTCGAAAAACTGACCCTTATAATTGGTTTTGTGGTCCATATATATATATATACACACACACACAAACTGACATAATTTTTAAATAACCAGATTTATAAGATATAGAAGTAGTTTAGGGATACCGACATCGATTTACGGTGTTCGCGGTGCTTTAAGAGTGGGCGGAGCACGGCAAAGCTCCGATTCTGTGATTGGTCGACATGTCTCTGTAGGATTATGGGTAGTGTAGTTCTTAATCAGAAATAGCGCTGTTAAACGTGCTATTAAATCATAGAACGTGGAATGACTGCTTTAGCTAAAGTATATATCATTTATAAACAACCTCCAAGCTCATGGTACATCTGTTAAATTTCGTCATTCAAAGTGAATTCCCTTAAGGAGAAAATTAAAGGGATTTTTACTCCCGCAAGCAGAATAGTGCGCTTTAAAGGAGAGCCTAACAAGTCGCGCAAGTGCTGTTGACATATCTCAAAACAATTATTTATAAAGTGACAGCACGTTTCAAGAAGGTTTCCAAGCGACGTCAGGACCGTAACTAATATTCAAAAGCTAAACTTGGGGGTCGTGGTGTTGCATGCGGACTTCAGTTCTGCTTATGCAAGAGAAAGAGAGCTGTTACACAAGCAGGTTTCTCTTCTTCAGATACAACAACAGAATAATAATAAACACTATTAATACTTCTACATTGAGTTGTGACAATACTTGTCAAGGTCTCTGACAGAGTAAGACTTCTATGCTTCTGCGAGACTGGTTGAACATCTCCAGGTATGCAAAACAAAGTTGTCTCAGCTACATGTTATATGCGTTATGTCACGGGAATCACTCATTTATTTAGACAGTTCATTTGAGATTTTTGCCTAAGAGAGGTTCGTAAACGTCTGTTTATAACAGCAAGCCTCCCCAAATGTTTTCCCAAACGTTGTCAGCATTTAGAGTTGATAAGTGTGTTGATTATTAACTGCATGGCAGCTTTAGAATATACCAGAGTTCACATTTTCCTTTAACCACATCTGTTTTATTTTCTACAGACAGATCACAACCAGCGGCATGTTTGCAATACGGAGAAGCTTCAGTCTTCTGTGCAGAGGATCAGCTGCTTCAACATGGAGAAATAAAAGTCAAAGTGCTGCGAAGAGGCTGGATATAAGGGGGATTTATCCTCCCATTGCCACTCCATTCACTCAGAGTGAAGATGTGGATTACCAAAGACTTGATGACAATCTTAAGAAGTACGGCAACTTACCTTTCAGAGGTGGGTTGTTTCATTTTTTGACAAACGCACCATACATTACCCAGATAGCACAAGTACGTCTGCAAGATGTCTGTTAAAGATCGCTTGATCTGGAAAGCATCTGCGGTGTTGTACAAACCTCTGACTTACGTCTGTAAGATGTAAGTTTTACATAAATCATAAACATCTTAAAGACATCTAATAGACATCTGATTGGAAACGTCCAATAGACGTATTGTAGAAGAGCAAACACTATAAAAAATACGTCTTGTAGACGTCAAATAGACATCTCTGTGATGTTCGTGTGCTATCAGGGAATGCAGCAGAAACCACAAAGACGTGTTATGATGAATGTAACACCTACAACATTTAATATGTGCTATATAGGCTATGTATTGTAATTTTGTGTGACCCAGCTTTATGCCGACAGTAGTTAACAGACGATAAACCTCGTGCCGTTAAGGTTAAAGTCCGCTTTTCACCTAGTGGACGTATTGAAAATGCCATCTCAATATTTTTCCTCATCCTAAAATCTATTTGTACGACTCACTGTTTATTGCACTGGCAGGTCTGGTAGTGCAGGGCTCTAATGGGGAATATCCATACCTGACACCGGAGGAGAGGGTTGAGGTGGTCAAGAGAGTCAAACAGGCGCTGCCAAAAGACAAGTTACTCATGGCTGGATCTGGCTGTGAATGTACGTCTCTCTTGGGTATTTATTTATATATGCCAGATGACATTTACACTCTAGATCACTTTTGTCTGTTCTTGTAGCCACCAGAGCCACGATCCAAATGAGCCAGCAAATGGCAGATGCCGGGGCTGACTGTTTGTTAGTGGTGACACCTTGCTTTTACCGCGGTCGAATGGATAGCCGAGCTCTTATAAACCACTACGCTAAGGTAGTCTTGAGTAATTGTATTTTGGTATTTAATCAAAGACTGTTCTCTCCATTGTGTTCAAATGGAACTGTGGACATTATGCATATCGTTGCACTCATTTGCATTTTACTTAGTTAAACTGTGGTTCACACTTTGTCTCATTCAAATGCATCATTGTTTTCCTCAATTCCAAGGTGGCAGATTCCAGTTCAGTGCCAGTTGTGTTGTACAGCGTGCCAGCAAACACGGGTCTCGACCTGCCTGTGGATGCAATAATCCAACTTTCCCAGCATCCAAATATTGTCGGCCTCAAAGACAGTGGTGGAGATGTAAGAGCTGCCATAATACATATTTAATGTAGTGATTTACATATATATATATATGAAGAGTTTATATGCAAAAACAGATTTTTTAATTTTCAAAAATCATGTTTTTATTGTGTTTTATTGTGTTAGTGTTTTTTTCTAGTTATTTTTTAGTTTAATCAAAATAACCAAACTGCAGTTTGATTAGGAATAATTGGAATGCACAATGAAAAAGCATGATTCCTGAGAATTGTTAAAAACGGAGTTATCTGTTTTTGCAAATTAAGTCTTCATATTTATATTAATGCTGTCAAATGATTAATCGCGTTCAAAATAAAAGTATTTGTTTACATAACATATGTGTGTGTACTGTGTATATTTATTATGTATGTATAAAGACACACACATACAGCATATATTTTGAAAATATTTACATGTATTTGAATGTATATACACTGAACAAAATTATAAACGCAACACTTTTGTTTGTGCCCCCATTTTTCATGAGCTGAACTCAAAGATCTAAGACTTTTTCTATGTACACAAAAGGCCTATTTCTCTCAAATATTGTTCACAAATCTGTGTTAGTGAGCACTTCTCCTTTGCCGAGATAATCCATCCACCTCACAGGTGTGGCATTCTGTGCTGAATGTAAATGAGCACCTGCTGTGTGTTCAGGGAAGGTTTATGAAGGTCACAGGATGAACATCTCACCTATTCCCGCTTGTCCGAACACCCACGACAGCCGTATGAACAGCATGACACCCCAGATATTCAGCATGCATCTCACCTGCAAACACACACACGGTCAAACTGCAGCAGAGCACATATTAAGCGTGCTAGAAAAGTGCTGATGTCAAATAACTCACCAGAACTCCTTTGATCCATCCAAATTTCACCATACCTCCGGCTTCCTTGTCTTCCAGTGGGATGATGGACTCCACATCGCCCAGCGTCGAGGTATCCGCTCCTTCTCTGTCCTCACATGTTCTGGGAATATCAAGGCCTCCATTCTGACTATAAATATGGAAGTTAAAATTAAACACTTTTGGGTCGATAACAAACCAATCTCCATCTAAAACTGCAAACTTTGTTTTAATAGGTCGTGGCCACATTGTACTAATTTGATTTACTATGAGAGAACAAATTAGTAAATCGTGTTCACAAATTAAATATAATGAGGAAATGAGTTAGTAAATAGCGAATATATATACATGCATCCAAAATAAAAGTTTTGGTTTACATAATATATGTGTGTATACTGTGTATATTTATTATGTATACATAAATACAAACACATGCATGTATATATTTAAGAAAAATATGCTGTTTACATATTAAATATGAAGAGTTTATTTGCAAAAACTGATTGAAAATTTTCAAAAATCATGTTTTTTATTATGTTATCATGTTTTTATTGTGTTTTACTGTGTTAGTTAGCTATTTATTTTTAGTTATTTTTTAGCTTAATCAAAATAACCCAACTGCAATTTGATTGATTAATTGGAATGCACAATGAAAAAGCATGATTCCTGAGAATTGTTAAAAACGGAGTTATCTGTTTTTGCAAATTAAGTCTTCATATTTATATTAATGCTGTCAAATGATTAATCGCGTTCAAAATAAAAGTATTTGTTTACATAACATATGTGTGTGTACTGTGTATATTTATTATGTATATATAAATACACACACATGCATGTATATAT